TTGGTTATACTTTCCTTTTGGGTGTTTAAGGCCATACAGTTGGCCCAGATAAACCAATTTATTTTTACTCTTTAGGTTGTTTGAGGATCTACCTGTTCCTTGGGGGTCACATGGGCTTGGGAGGAGCCCCTGTCTCCTTTCTTTTACCAGTACCACCTATGTGAAGATGAGTCAAAGGTCCTGCTCAACCATGGTTGGCTTCCCTTAGAATCATGGAGGAAATGATTCCTCTGTGTTGACCCTCCTCTTTGTAGACTGGACACTGGTTCAAGTCCATCTGGTGGGGTCTCCTCAGCCTCCTTGATCAAGAGGACAGGTGAGCCACCACCATTATAGGACAATTTGAGAGATGCTCATAGTCCCCTGGAACTAGTCAACCTAGGAGGGCAAGTAGCAAAAACTGTCTTTTATATCCCACTGACCAAATTATTATAGGCCTCAAAGCATGTCTGTTAAACATCCAAGAAGGTTAGTTCCACCAGTCTGGTACTTTTAATTACTGTGTGTTATGTAGATAAATCTTGGACAAAAACCAATTGTTTTCAGGTAAAACTTACCTAGACATATATTTCTTTATCTGTTATGTATATTTTGTCAGTAGGTTGTAGGAGTAATATGGTTCCCTCTGGTTTTCAAAACTAGCTAGGTATTATTTATCTCTCGCATTGTCTTACCCCTCCATCATGGTTTTCCCACTTAAGGTGCCCCCATTTCCCCCCATCTCCCTTAATAATACCCTTCTCCTATGGTCCTACCTCTCTTGAGCTCCTTCTTTCCCTTTATCCCCTAGTTTCCTTGTATACCTTTCCCTCACCCTTCCATTAAACTAACCCATTTTTTTGTCCATATTTCCCTTATTAAGGCCTGTTTCCTACTGTTCTTCTCTTTCAGATTCTTTCTTTTCCTTTACCTCACTGTTTCCTTTCTATTTTCCTGCTTCCTATAGTTATATCTGGATACATACTCACATCAGGGTTTGGTTCTAGAATCCACATATGAGGAAGAACAGATGTCGATTTTTTTCTGAGTCTGTGTTACTTAG